TTTGTTGCTGTCTTTATTGGGAGATTAAATGGTTTAAGGAGATGTGTACAGGTGCCAAGTTAACAAGACATGGATTGTGGTGATCAGGTTCATGTGTTGACCTGGCTAGGCTCTAATACTCAGTTATTCAAAACCTGATCTAGGTGTTGCTGAGAAGATATTTCATAAATGTAATTTACATCTACAATAAGTTAACTTTATGTAAAGGAGATTATCCTGGATAATATGGTTGGGTCTGATCCACTCAGTTGAAAGCTGAGGTTTCCCTGAAGAAGGAGAAATTCCACCTGTGGACGGCAATGTCAGCTCTTGTCTGAGAGTTTCCAGACCTCCCTCCCACACAGCCTGCCCTATGGATTTTGGATTTGCCTAGCAAGTCCCCACAAATGCTTAAACCAATTCCTTGCAAATAATCTAGGTAGATGACAGATACATGGATATGAAAATAGACAAGACAGAAGATAACCTACTGGTTGTGTTTCTCTGGTGGAACTCTGACTGATACACAAATCATCTGAGAAAATCTTGCATCTCTTCAGAGTCAACGCTTGTTTTTGACCCTAAAGAGATCATCAAGCATTCATCAGACATGGCCCCAAAATGACTGGGCAAATCTCAGGAGTTCAAAAGATTATTCTGATCGAGGAGTAAGATAGGCAGGTCAGTGCAACACCCCTCAAATAGTATTCTTTTACCTTCAGATACATCAGTTCTTTTGTGTTGATTAAACTATCGGCAACACATAGTGGAATAGAACATAGCCACTTTAAAATATGCTCATTATTTTAAAGGAGCACACAGAATCTCTTAACATTATTGCCTCTAAGGAAGGTAACCCAGTAGCTGGAAGACAGAGGTGGGAGGGAGAATTTTTGCCTTTTGTGCCTTTAGAATAATGTATCATGTTAATGTGTCATTTAGATTAAGGGTTGTTACACTATGCTCCACAGACCAAATCTGGCCCCTGCTTTTTAAAAGTTTTATTGGAACATAGCCATGCTCATTTGTTTACATATTGTCTATGGCTGCTCTCATGCTCAAATGGCAAAATTCAGAAACTGTAATCTATATATATATATAAGGTCATATGGACCACAAAGTCTAAAATAATTATCTGATCCCTTACGAAAAATATTTGCCAACCTGTCTAGATTTTTTTTAAATAAGAAAACTGACATTAACAAAGAAAATATGCCCCAAGAGAATCGAAAACATGTATCTACACAAAAATTTGTACATCAATGTTCATAGCAGCACTAATCACAATGGTCAAAAAGTAGAAACAATTCAAACATCCATCAACAGATGAATAAACAAAATGTGATAGACCCACACATTACTCAGCTAGAAAAAAGAATTAAGTACTGATAAATGCTACGCACAGAGGAATCTTGAAAACATCATGCTAAGTGAAAGCCAGAAACAAAAGGCCACATGTACAACTCCATTTATATGAAATGTCCAGAATAGGCAAATTCATTGAGAAATAAGGTAGATCAGTGGCTTCCTAGGGCTGGGGAGAAGGGGGAATGGGGGGGTGACTGCAAACAGGTACACAGTTTCTTTTGAGGGTGACCAAATGTTCTGGAATTACATAGTGGTGATGGCTGCACAAGTTTGTGTATATGCTAAAAACTACTGAACCGTACACCACCACCAAGTACAGGGCAATCCAGAGTTCAGTAGGGGGCTCAGAACCCAGTGATAAATTAGTCCTCTCTGCCACTGCAAACCAAAATCAAACCTGGCCTGGGAGTCAGATCAAGTTCTGCATCCCAATTGTTGCGAACACCCATGTGATCTTAGACACGTTTCTTCCCCGTTTTCTTCCCTATAGCATGGGTGTAATTGAGCAGGGAGGGAGAACGCTGGTGGTGGAATAGGGATGTGAGGGGGGATTCTGTTATTTCTCCAACTTTATTAGATACCCTAATAATCAGCATCTTCATCATCATCATTACCCTTTTCCAAGCATTTTCACATATATGATGTCATTTGATTTTATAGATGAAGAAATCGAGGATCAGAGAGATCAAGTAACTTGTCCAAGTTCATCCAGTGGGTAAGTGTTGGAGCTGGGATTCGACTCCAGGTCTTCTGATTTTAGATTTCATCTGCTTTCACTACCACACTGTTTTTGCATGTTTGGATTCTCTCTAGAAAGCCCGAAACAGGAGTGTCCAGCAGCCTCACCACAGACTACACACCTACACACCTTCATCCGGACAAAAGGAGGGAGAGGCAGAACCCAGGGTTCTGCTGGTTCTCTGACCTTTCTTAGGAACATCTATATTGGCACAGTAGCAGTCTGTGGGTAGGAATATTCATGTACATTAGTGTGGACACCAAGCCCTCACACATCACAAAGACAGACACACAGGTACACCTGACCTCAACAGGTGACAGGTCATATTTGTTACTGGGTAATGAAGGGGCTATGCTTTTTGTTCAGGGGAGGCCTAAGACGTCAGAACTCTGAGCATCTGCTTTCCCTTCTAAGACCAGAAGACCCATCTCTCCCAAAGGCCTTAAGGAGGAAGAGGTGGCTCCTCAATCCTTAGCAGAGAGGAGTAAGGAGGAGGGAGAGAGGAAAGTATCCTCGCTGTCCCTGCTAAACCAGAGCCCCAAGAGAGGGAACATCAGGGATTCACTCCCAAGAGATCTGGGCCTACATCTTAAGAGTATTCATGAGACCCCTGCTGCCAAACCCAGTCAAGCCCTTGTACATCAGTGCTAAGCCCTAATAATGCCACCAGCTACATGGGCCTTGTCACTCACCCTCTCTGATTTCAGTTTGCTTATCCAAAAATGTGGCTAATGATTACTGAGTCTAGCTCAGAGGGGTGCTCTCAGGTTTCAGCAACATAAACTGAAATGCTTTAAAAATAAAATGCATTTTATGAACACACTATTTCACCCTCTCACACTGGCAAGCAAGAGGGGCTGTGGCTTAAATACACTTAGGGAGTGACCCTCTCACACCTGTTAAGGTGGCAGGGCTTGGGCAACAAGGAGAGCCAGACCTAAGGCAGCCATTCTCTTCAGGAAAGGCAAGGCTGCCCTGGGGCACCAGCGCTGCCCAGGCTTGCTCGCACCCTCCTCTTTCCATTTGAGCAATCTGATCTGTATGCATCAAGCACTTCCTACAGGACAGGTGCTGTACTGTGTGCTTCAAGATAAGCAGTTAAGAGAAAAATGCTCTCACAGAGTTTATATTCTAGTTGTCGGAGGCCAGAAAGTAAACAATTACGTCAAACTTGGCAGGTGCTATGTGGAATTAAGGTTAATAGTGATGGAGGAGAGGCGCTATCTTGCACAGGATGTCGGAAGGCCCCTCTGCTAAGAGGATGTTTGAGCAAAGACTTAAAAGAGGTGAGGGAATAATTTAGTGGGGAGCCACACCTTAAGTCTAGGCTGGAGGACACTAGAGTTCAGGGAACAGAGATCGACAGCACCACAGCAAGAAAGAAGATCCCCTACCATGCTGGTTATTCTCCATTTGCCTCCCTTAGATTGTCACCACCTTGCTCTTTCCTGCTGTTCACTGTAGGGACGGGGACTGAACCCTATAGACTACATCCCTGGGTCTGCCTTGTCATCGGCCATTTGGCTGGGTTCAGTCAAAGGGAGTCCCCAGAAGACTGGAGAACAGGATACATGCAGGGATATTGGCATTCCCATGGCCACAGTTCTTCTGAGACAATCCCACAATTTCCATCTGCCTTCCACAGTCCCTTCAGTGACACATGCTCACATCTTTTCCTATCCTGGGCCCCACAGAGTGGAGGCTCATCTTCTCCAGTAAGCCCTGCAGGATTAGCCTTCCAGATGAGCACTGTGCACCTACCTGTGCAGGAAATGTGTTGTTCACAGATGCCACTGGACTACCCCTTTCATCAGGGCAGGAAGTAGATGAGCTTTGGCCCTGGAGATACTCATTCCTGATGAAATGTGAACTGTGGCCTCACTCTCCCTCCCAAAGCTCCAGTTCTGTCAAATTACTTATGTCAGTTAAGGCAGTAGCAGAAGTTCGGGCTCTAGAGTCTCTCCCATTTTTTTAATCTTAATCCCTTAGGACCTCACTGCCCCAGATGTAGAACTTCTTGCCAAGATCAGCCAAACTCCTTCCTAACTGGAGGAACCCTATCTACCTGCCTCTAACACTCAATAGCCTATTGCCCAGTTCATTCCCTTGATAACACATTTATCACTATTGGAAAAAGTTGATCAGTGTGTGTATATCTGCTCTACACACAACAGTCTGCACGTCACAGAAGCCTAGAACTTGCCTGTCTCATTCTACTGTACGAACAGCATCCTAAGCCCAGGCATACAAGAACTCTTCAATGTTTTTGAGTAGATAAACAGTTAACACAAAGAAACCAAAGCACCTCTGGCTCCCTAACCCCTCCATCAGGATTGCAGCCATACGACGGTGTAGTCAGGGGTGGGCAGACACTCTCAGTCTTGGCACTGCTGATTTCTCAAGTTGTGTCTGGGCAACAGGAGTCCGAGAATCACTTAGGTTCCACCAAAAGTGGCTCCATCTTTCTGAATATTCCCAGCTTTCCATTTCTGAGTGGCCAGACCCTTTGCTAAATAGTTCCCAGGTTCAGGGAAATAGAGAAGGGGAAGAGTATGAAAGAGATGAACTCTGGGCAAAAGTTGAAGAAGCCAAGCTCAGGCAGGTCCATGATGGCAGCTAGGAAGGCAGCAGCTACTATCCCAAAGACACAAAATATGGCTCACCTGGTCATCACCACCAAGGACAGTAGGACCCAGGAGCCCTTGAGGGTGAGTGCTCCTGGCTAGTTTTCTTCCACTTAAGGGGCATAAGCCTAGGCACAAATAAGTGTTGCTTCAGGAAAATCAGTATCTTGTGCCTGGTCTTCTCTTCAGTCCCCATTCTACCCCATCCTGGAATCCTCCACCATCACCCACTGTGTGGCACCACTGCCACCAGGTCAACCCCTTAACCCCCAAAGAGACCCAAACAGCGCAGAGGTGCATCAGTCAACCTTTAATGTCCAAAAGAGGCGTGGATGCAGAGCATAGGAGATGTGGCAGGGTCTCAGGCCCTGCTCCAGAAATGAGGGAGAGATGAACACAAACTAGACACTTTCAACTGGCCACACAGTCTGGGAGGGCAGGGGGAAACAGATTTGGACATTCATAAAAAAATAAAACCTAAAATCAAGCACTCAATTTTGTGCCCATTGAAGGGTTTGATATAGGGAACTCAGTCACCACCCAGGTCCCCCCTCCCCTGCCAACATCAAAAAGCAAGCTCGGCACACACTAAGGGCTTAGGGAGGGGCATTCTCCTGCCTCCCCACCAGCCCCAAGAATGGACTTGAAAATAAAATAAGTTGGATTCCCCACCCCCCACATTGTCAACCCTACACGAGAGTTTTGAAGGCGACTCATGAGAATCAGCAGCTCAAACGGCAATGACCACCCCACCCCAAGCCCCACCCTACTCCTAATACATTAACAGATAAGACTTCCCCTGCATCCTCCTTGGAATCTCCTCCCCTCACAGCCCTGTTCCATCTCCTGCTATCTGGCTTCATCACTGCAAGACTGACCTCCCCCGAGGCTCCCCAGAAGCTCCTCTCGGCTCTTTATCACTTCCATCCTCACCTCCCACCAGAGAGATAACCATCCAGTCACTGTCCCTCTGCACAGAGACCCAGCTCCAGAGCAGATGGCAGCATGGTCATCCTGTCCTGGGTGGTCCTCCTAAAGCCTTCCCAGGGAACAGACAGCCAGAGAGCAAGCAGAGTGTCTGGGCTAGATGACAGCAAGGAGGGGACACCTATCTTTACTTCCAAAACAGATATTCCCAGAGGCTTTTAACATAAAGGCCCACTTAGAACTGTGTCCCCTACCTACCCATACACCCTAGAGATTCCACACTGTCCTGCCCCCTCCCTCCCCTCTACCCCAAACCCCGCACATATATATACACATACAGACACACACACACACACACACACACACACACAAGAATCAAGGGAGATATCGATTTGGTTTGATTGCTAACACCTAACTAAGGAACTACAGTCACCAGAAATTCCCTTGCCAGCCAACTAACAACAGGGGCTGCTCTAAGAGAACTCCAGAGGAATGAGAAAACTGAGGGCTAAGCAGGGAGCAGACAAGAAGAATGTAAAGAAAAAAAAAAAAAATTCAGGCTAATCCTACCCCCAACATCCTCCTGTCATGATCTCTGGCAGGAAGAACAAAAGAAGGTAATCCACAAAGACACAGCCCTTACTTAGAAATTCTGACAAGACAGCAAGACAAGTCTGCTCCCCACTCCCACACACCACAGACAAACACATCTCAGGGGCCCCTAAAGAACACATCCCCTCCCCACCCCCTCTGCCCCAAGCCATTGAATCACAGTTCAGTGGAATATTCTCCCTGGTACTAGATCAATCCCTCCACCTCATTCCTATCCCTTTCTCCTTGACAATCCCAACACTGTCCCCCTGCAGACTCCCTGGCCCTCCCAAAGCAGCATCCACCGCCAGGAAGAGGCAGCTGCACAGTTTTAGTTCCACCTCCAGAGACCTATTTCTTTTCCTCAGCCCTCCTAGTCTTTCAGCCTCCTAGTCTTTGTGGAGGGCCTGTTATTTTGTATAGGTAAAGAAAGAGAAAAGGGAGAGATGGGAGAGATTTCCTAGTGCAATACAACCAAAAAATATTTTTAAAGTCTTGAAAAATAAACATAAAGCAGCCGTCTTCCCCAGGCAACTAAACAGAAAGAGGTTTGGTTTTGTTTACTGCAACATACACATGAAATCGAGTATACAGTCCATGCAGTAGCACAGCCATTGGAGAGGACATCCTGATGCTGGCCCCAGTGCAAAACAGTCCCAGCAACGCCGCCTGCTTGCCATCGCTGCCGTCGCCACTGACACCTTCACCACAGCCACCTAGCCTGACTTGAAGAGGAGGATTGCAACTTGACCCAAGTAAAAATAGATGAAGTGCTTTGTCTCGTGTGTGACGTAGCTGCCAAAATTTCGGCCCACGATACAATGCCAGGTAGGGTTGTATTTCTTGTCAAATTCCTAAAAAAGAATAAAGGTAGAGAAGCAAGGTAACTAGGGTAGCTAGAGAAGGAGAAATCAGAATGGGAGTTTCTCCCTGCAACTCCAGCACCAACACGTTTAGTTGTTATCACCCTTACCCCACCCCTCGACCTCAGCTCCCCAAACCTCAGGAGCTCAGGTTCTAAGGCTGGCCAGGACACTCTTCCCCTCATTAATAATGAAACACCACAAAGGTTCCATTATTTCTCTCCCCTGAGCCTCCAGCACTCTACACTCTGATCATCTCTCCTCCCTCTAGCTACCCCACCCACTCACACCACCCCTAACCCACCCTGGGATTCTTCAGAAAGGGAATCAGAGAGGCCAGTGGAATAAAGGACCATTTGTCAAATAGCATGGCACAAATGGGGAGCCACCACCTGCTGTATCACACATTACTAAACCAGCATTTCCAAATGTTAAACACCAAGGCATTAGAGCAAAACAGGACCAAACATCAGGAGTATCAGGAGGTAGTTCTACATAAGACATTAAAGTTAAAGGCACTCCCATGTGCCTGGCACTGTGTGGGCTGTATGTACCAGAACAACAACCTCTACCATGAGATCAAGGCAATTCCCTCAGGCGCACAAGTTCAGCATCAAAACTACAGAAAATCTTTGTGAGCTAATCAGCTCCCTACTGCCTGTGGCTCAGCCAGCAGACTCAGTTCTAGAGGCATCCTGCCTTGTCCACAAAAGGGCAGGAGCCCCCCACCATGGGCTCACCAATGCTGCCAACTCTGGGGCTCCATCCCTCAACATGCTCAACATACAACTTATCTGGTCTTCTCACAGCCCCCATACCACACAACTCTCCAAGAAGTACTACGAAAATGAAAACCAAACCCAGCTTCCATCCTAGCTCTAGACTTCGTGTAATACAGGAGAGCCAGTTACTTCTCTGGTTATCATTTCTCCATAAGCAAAATAAGAGCTGGATCAAAAAATCTGAGGATTTTTCTGGCTCTCCAACCACAGGACAGCGAGAAGGTGAAGTCCCAACTGGCTCTGCAACCCTTGGCTCCACACCCAAAAAAGTCTCTCAGGACTCCAGAGGTTCTTTTCATTCTACCCATTTGGGTAGGAAAACACAGTTCTGTAAAACTCAGAGACCCTACCGCTTCAATGGACCAGACTGTACCATTCTTACACATCCTTCTTGAGATGCCAGAGCTGAGAATATCAAATACTGGGACTATGCCTCCAACTGATATGGGACCTGACTGGGAATCAGGGGGGCCCCACTACCCCTTTTCTTTCTGGCTCAGCTGCTTCCTTACCATGTTAACCATATCCAGTCACCCATTCACTCAGGAATTTTTCAGAGACCAAACCTATGGCCCCATTATTGCTCATCCATTTCTTAAAAATTGTATATTCAAGCCCACCCTTTTCTTAAGAATGTAGAAAGGGTTGATGTAGTATCTGAGTCCTTTTTAAGGGGGGGAAAAAAAAAAAAAAGGAAACCTCCTACACAATGAGGATTATTATAGGCATACCCACTTTAAAATGATGTAGTTCCCTGAAAATTTGTACATCTTTCTCTTTCAAATATCCTTGATCTTAATTTTGAATAGTTCTGAATTGGGCCAAAAATATTTAATTCTGAAGTTTCTCTGCATAATCTTATACTTCCCCAATATCTTGCAGTAGCATAATTATCTATAAAAGTAAACATATACACACATACTTAACAGAGCTATTAACAACTCTTAAGGTCAATGCTTGGGCAATTCAGAATCACTTACTAGTTTGTCTGCTTTGCAAGTTCCTAGAGTTTTGTCTGCATAGGATATATGGGCTTTCTCATGTTCCCAGCTCCGGATCTCCCTGGAGGTTAGCTCAGCTATCAATCCCCACCCCTGGCTATCAGCCCCCAGCTCCCCCAGCGTACCTTCTTGATATAAGCAGCAATGTCCTTCTCTATGTTGTACTTCTCCATGGCCTGTGTGGCGCAGTCAACAGCATCCTGTTGCATGTCCTCAGACATGTCTGCGTTCTTGATCACTGCCTTCCGGTCAGACATCGTGACACTACAGAAGGAGCAGAGAGGTAAGGCTGACAGAACACCATCCTCTGGGCAGTGAACATTAGCTGCTGGGTGTGGGGTCCCAGTGGGAGAGGGGAGTATACAGGGTGGGCACAACAAAAAACACAGACATGAAGCATTAGGAGAGAGCGCTCCTAAGCTTTTAGCAGAGACATTGTTCCCTCCCTGGGTAATATAGGGCCAATACGACATAATAAATCATCAGTTTTTATCATAGGTAAAATGAGGTTTTCCAACTCTAAAATTTACTTCTGATACTCTGAACAGCACTAATAGTCAAGATGATATTACAGTGTATCATCTACTAGCTGTGTCCTTGGACAAGTTACATTATCTTTGTGTTTTTGTCATCATATGTAAAATGGAGACTGCAGGGTTGTCCTGAGAATAAACTAGGTATCCTAACACTTGAACAGAACAAGCCTCTGATTTAATGACCATTATTACATCACTGGCATCGTAGCAGTAAGAAGATGGACTAGGACTCGGTAGGCCTGACTCCTGGTCCTGAGTTTATCTCTAGTAGTCTTAGACAAGTCACTTGGACTTCTTGCATTTGATTATTTTCATTTTAGCAATGAGGACAGCTGTCTAGTGAGAGTTGTTTTAAGGATTAACTAACGTTCTATGATAGCATCTGCAGACAAGGACAGTCTACAAGGAATTGTCTGTCCATCAGCCAGATCCAGCCAACCACCTGTTTTTGTAAAATAAAGTTTTGCAGGAACATGCTACAATGGTAGAGTTGAGTGGCTGCAACAGACTGTATGGCCTGCAAAGCCAAAAATACTTCCTATCTGGCCCTTCACAGAAAAATGTTGCCAACCTCTGCCCTATACAAAAAGGGGTAGGGTATATTCCAGGCCACCAATGCCCTGTGGGGCAAAGATAATGATAATTATCCCTTCTCTCAAGTACTCCGGGCTGAGATGTCCCTTAGAGGTAGAGGGTAGGAAGGCAGCCTCAGACTTAGCCAGTCGGTCACACAGGACATGTCTCTGGTCCCATCCTCCCCTCTGCTTCCCTACTCACCTCAGTACAATTTCATTCTTTAAAGCTCAATATAATTTTTGAAAGCCCTAGATTTTGGATCCAGCTTCAACACTGATTTGTCATTTCTTTGGTGCTTATGTCAAATTTATTCATTCATTCAAAAAGTACTAACCTACTAGGTGATGTGAAAGGTACTATGTTAGGGAACAATATTATTTTCCTCAAAGGAATGCTGAAGTCTTTCTTCCCCTAAATAAACATAGGCTTGGGAACATCCTGGAGATAAAGGATTCAAAAAAGTACCTAAGAAAGGTAAAGAATTACTATTTTAGGAACCTTGTTTCATATCCCTGTTATCAGGACCATGGCATCCATCCCACAGCAACCAGAGTTCCCAAGCAGACCCTGCATAGACCCTTCCTGGGATGAGAACCTCAGGACCTGCCTGACAGGTGGCATGTGAGCTACTATGCAGAACAGAGGAGGATGAGCCCTTTGTCCTTGACCACAGTCCCAACACATGGAGCAGTAACAATCTCCCCATCACGCCACCCCTAAAAGCACCACTCTGTGGCCCAGCCCAATGGACAAGAGATGCTGTCATTCCAGCTGTATATAATACAAGGCTACAGAGGAGCCTGCGTGCTCAAGGACAGATCCTTGGTATCATCCCAGGCCACCCTGATCTCTGAGTGCACATTGGCCTGTGGACTAGATGGCTGAAAGGGAAAGCAGAACTCACCACCAGCATCTGAGCCTGCAACAAATGCACAGAATGCACACACACCAGCTGCCAGCTAGGCAGCCCTTGACCACATCCAAGGCCCCTTCATCTAGCACTATCAAACTAAGCAGGGCTGGTTCCACTTCGGCAGAAACTGGTTGAGCAAAGGGTGGTAGACCAGCACCCTCTGCCCCTACATTCTTGAGAGGGAAAGTCAGATCCTCAACTGGAATCTGTGAGCACCATGTGGTGCTGAGGAAAGATTCCGAGAGCCCTGTTCAAGGACTGACTGGCTACATGACCTTGGGCAAATCAACATTTTCATTTCAAAAACCAATGGCTGAAATGAAATAAATGGGGCAATCTCAATGGGTTTGAGCAAAGAAACAGCAGCAGCACAGGGAGAAATGTTCTTATAAGGCTCTGTGTAAGTGAAGAAAAACTAGTGTCACCTGGTGGCCTATTCCAGGTTACCACTCAGAAGGGGGCACTGTTTACAAACCCAGGGGTGGGGGTGGGGCCTGGTTAGACAGCAAAGTGAAAGTATGAAATTGGCACCATTTTGCCTGCCAGTTCACCTGCTCCACTGCCTCTTTCCCAAAGTCCAAAGGAGGAACTTTGTTACGGTAATTAAAAGCCACCCTACTCTACAGGAGAGAGCCTGTGGTTACATAATGTTGGTCTTGTGACTACAATGGCACGATTCTTCACCCCTGACCCCCCAGGCATCTGAGAGAGGTGAAGCCCAACCCCTACCACCCCTGTCCAAGGTGCCGGTGAGCAAAGCAGAGGAAGGTGTCCAGCCTAGCCCCTCCCTCCTGGGGAAAAAGCAAGGGACCTGGGCCTCCAAATAGGAGAAGATGGCCAGAGGGCCCCGGGCCAGCCGTCTCAGTCACGAGCCAGGGCTCCTGTGAAAAGCGCAAAGGGCACTCCAGGACAGCCCCCATCCTCTATCCCGGGTTTTGCAACAACAACAACAAAAAAAGGATAAGTCCCCAAATGACACGGACCACCATCCCCACCTGCCAACACACACACACTGCTACTTCCCCCTTTGGGCTCCCCAGGGGGCCGTATCCCTCCATCATCCCATCCTCCAGTGCGTTGCGGTCCGGAAGAGCAGCACCTGGGGAACAAGGAAGCATCCTCCCCCCTCCATCTCCTGCCCGCGCCGCCGGCCAGGTCCGCAGGCCCCGGCCGGTCGGCCGCCCTCCCCCGCCCAGCCTGGAACAGCGCGGGAGTGACTGGGCGTCCTCGCTGCAGGAAGGACGCCCCAGAGGGTGGCGGTGGCGGCAGGAGGAGCCGCGTCACGCCCGAGCCCTCTCCACCCCCTCTTCCCCGGCCCCTGACACTAGGGGCCTCCACGCAGCGCTGGGAGACTCCCGGGGGGCGGGGGCGGGGGCAGCTCTGCAGCCCCGGCCTCCAGCAGCGCCACGAGGGTGGCCGGGGCAGAGAGTGGCGCAGACCGGGCTGCGCCGGGAGGGAGGGGCGGCGGGGGCGCGCGGCGCTGCCCGGACCGTCAACGCGGAGGGCTGCTGGGCCAGCCCCGTTACAGGCCTTGGAGCCGGCTAAGGAAGCCACAGGGCCACCGCGGCGAGGCCGGGGCGCATGGAGCCGCACGCGACGGGCACAGGTCGGCCACCCGGGGGACGCCGCCACCCGGGGGACGCCCCCACCCAGAGCTCACCTTCACGGAGGCGAGTCCGCACGGGCCCCTGGGGAGCAGCGATGGCCCGAGGCAGAGCGCAGGCAGGGGCGGTGTCCCCTGGGCTCCTCCAGCAGCAGCAGCAGCCGCCGCCGCCGCGGTCTCCGGCTCCCGCAGCCCGGGGCCGATAACTCCCCGCCGCGGTCCGCCCTGGGAGTTTCGCCGGCCGCCCGCGCTCCGCCTTGCGCCGCCGGCCCGCCCGCTCCGCACTGGCGCCTCACAGCTCCGCTCCGCTCTGCCGCTGAGAGCGGTCGACGCGCGGCCCCCAGTGAAATAGCGCCCCGCCCCCGCCCCCCCGCCGCGCGCGCCGCCGTCCGCGCTCCCCATTGGCTGCGCCTGCCCGGCCCCGCACTGCGGGCTTCTCCCCGCGCCGCTCTCGCCCCACATCTTGTTTCCTCCCACAATGCCTCGGGGCGGAGGGAGGGGGCGGGGAGGAGGAGCGGGAGCAGGTGGGGGAGGGAGCCGTGGCTTTAGGAAAGGAGAGGAATGCCGACCCCTCCGTCCGGGGCTGGAGAGACCAGGCCTGAGAAGGAATTAAGAGACGTGGCCCCGAGAGAGGAGGGGTGTGGGGACCCCAGTCCCAAGGAGAAAAAAGGGCGAGGGGGATGGAGATTTCAGATCCAGGGAGCAGAGGGGCTGAGGTAGAGACCCCAACCTTCGAGAAAGGAAGGGGAGGAGATGAAGTCACTAGTCTCAGGGGAAATGGCAGGACACTCCCTCCTCCCGTATCTGTGGGAAGGAGAGGGACAGCCAGCACTGTGGAGTGGGAGAGGCGTGGGGCCCCAGGGCTCCCTCCCCTCACGTCCAGAAAGGTACCTGCTTCCTCCAGCTTAGCCTTTGTTGTTTGAGGCTGAAGGACCTAAACTCTCAGCTGGGCGCCCAGCCGGTTATTCATCTACAAGAGCAGTGGAGACAGAGCCGAAGCACAATTGATGGGGGGTGTTTTGGTGCGCAGGCCTCTGCTGTCCTTGCACATTTACGGCCTTGGGGTCCTTCTGGGATGGGGGTGAGAGTGAGCCATTCCTGTCGTCTGTCCCTGCCTGTCCAGGACTGCAGAAGAGTAAATAGAAGTCCCTAGAGGTGCCAATTAAAGCCTGTCCGAGCTGTGGAGCCTTAAAAAGCACCCCGTCCACACCCCTCACTTTATAAAAGAGAGGATCAAAGTACAGAGAGGGGAGAGCCCTGCCAGATCCCGCAGGTCGGGCTTGACCGGCTTCTGGGCTGCGGTGCACCCAGGCAGCAGCCCCTTGGAGGCTGAAGAGACTGCTGGGAGGGTGAGTGTAAACGTGCGGTTGGGAATCTGCCTGCCCTCCCTCCACCCCACCACCAGAAAAGACCCGCAGGCCTGCGGTTTTCACTAGCCTCAGAGGAAAACACTCTGGTCTGTTTCATACAGAAAGTGTCTACCTAAAGGGCTGACGAGCCTTTACTGGGAACCAAGCATTCTGATCACACAGTAGGGATTAAGAAGCTGCCAGGGAAAGCTCCCACTCCCATCTTTTTCCCTTTGCTGCTCCCAAAGTCAGGAAGTCAGACTTGCTCTGGCCCTGGCCTGCTCTAGCTTGAAGCATTAAAAGTTAGTGTTCATTATGTGTCAGGGGAAACCTGGAAATATCCCCTCTCGTTTCTGCTTTCCACATCTCTGTCTTCTAACAACCTCAGCTGGGGATTTCAGAGGAACGATCAAGGCCTGGGGTATCCCCTCACACTAAGGGTATTCTGATGTCAGTCTTTCTGTTCATGAATGGGAGGCGTGGCCTCTGGGACGGTGGGAGGGGGATGAGGAAGCACGATTTATCCACTTAGGGCTTGTGCTTCCAGCCCCTTCCAGGACCTGAAGGTCAGATCTGCCATGTATGGTTATACAGGTCATTCACTGCACAAGAGTATCCAACCAAGCGAGCAAGTGGGTGCTAAAATACAGCCTGTACGCTGCTTGCTAAGTTGTGTGTCCTGGTACAAACCAGAGTCCAACCAGAAGATGACTTTTTTCGAGTATTCCCAAGGGTTACTATGAGCTGGCAGTGGCAGTTCAGAGGCCATGCTGCCAGGCCATAAATCCTCCGTCTCCCTGCTCCCCTTTCCTGAAGTACAGCAGGGATAAGAGCTTGCTCATTTCCAGGCTGTGGTGGGTGGACACAAGGGCACAAAGAACTTCAACTAACAGAAGTCAGAGCCAAGGGTTTTCACTTTGAAGAAATGTGAATATCAGTGTGTGTGTGTGTGTGTGTGTGTGTGTGTGTGTGTGAAGGACTAAACTGTAGATCAGGCGTCCCCAAACTACGGCCCGCGGGCCGCATGCGGCCCCCTGAGGCCATTTATCCAGCCCCCCTGCCGCACTTCGGGAAGGGGCACCTCTTTCATTGGTGGTTAGTGAGAGGAGCACAGTATGTGGCGGCCCTCCAACGGTCTGAGGGACAGTGAACTGGCCCCCTGTGTAAAAAGTTTGGGGATACCTGCTGTAGATTATCAGGAAGATGTGTTAATAGTATGGTTTATAGATAATAATAACTAATCCTCATGAGTCCCTTGCTCTATGCCAGGCTCTATTCTAAGCGTTTTAAATGCAATGCATTTCGTTTAATCCCAGGAGCTGCCTTTTGAAGTGAATGGATTACTATAACCCTGAACAGATGAGCAAACTACAGTTTAGAGAAGTTTAGTAACTTGCCCAAGATTATCCAATTTGTCAGTGGCAGAATTCCACTCCAGTTGTCTCCACTGCCTGCAGTCTTAGCCATTATACTAGTCTGCCTCCTAACAGAGGAAAGAGGAGGGAAAGTATCAAACAGGGTTTGCCCTCTATCTAAATTATACCAGCATCTCCTAAACTTATCTGACTCCAAAGCCCTTTTTTAAATCCAAACATTTATTAACATCTCCAGGAACTACTATTCCACAGGACACAGTTTGGGAAAGTTGTGGTATACTAATTACTGCTATTTGTGTAAGATGCTTACTGTTTAGGATAATTACTATGCAACATAGCCACTGTTATAATTAATATGTCGGCTTAACTTGGTGAATGTTTTTATTTGATACAGCTACACTGTTTGCGATTGCCCAGTTTCCTGTTGCCCAGATAGCACAGTCATGTCTTCTGATTTCAAAATCAAAATCAGACTGTTGTTTCTGGCTTTTTGGTGGACCCCTTTCTGTCTGGCTACTTCTTTAACTTCGGGCCTCCCCAGAGCATTTTGTTTCCCTCACTGCTCAGCTTAGAAATTTCACCCACATTCATGGTTTTTACCATGATCTGGGCCCCAGTGACCACCCTAATGCCTGGACCTCTCCCCTGTGGATACCCCACAGGCTCTTCAGACTCTTCACATGTACACATATAAAGCAGTGGGCCAGAATGCCTGGATTCTGACTTCTTTCCACCACTCTACCAACTGTGCAGATCTGGCTAAACTATTCAACATCTCCAAATTTCATTTTCCTCATCTATAAATTGAAAATCATATCCACTTCATGGAGTTAAGAGAAAATGTATGAAAAAGTCCTGGTACAGTGCCTGGTCCATATACGTGATTAATAACTGTTAGTCATCATCAACCTCTCTGTCCCAGACTTGTTTGCCTTCCCTGTATTTCTTATCTCAGCTTATGACCCCATTATCCACCCAGGCACAAGCCAGAAACCCTGGATTTGTGTCTCTCCCTCACCCACCAGGTCTCCATCACTGCTTACCTCCTGGATATATTTCCAATCCATGCCTTCCTTCTCATTATGACTCCCCCATGTCAAGGACTCATCATCTCTTTCATTTGGTTCTCTGTCTCCATTCTTGGCTCCTCTACCTTAAATGGAGCGGTCTATCTAAAATGCAGATTTCCTCAGGCACGTACCTCATTACTGCTCAGAATAAAGACCAAGTCCTTTCCCATAACTTAGCCACCACACGTTGCACCCCTGCTTCTCTGCCTTATGTCCCCACACTTTCCATCTCGCCGTTCTTGCTCTAGTAACACCATCCACTGCCTGTTGTTTCCCTACACGCAGATTCCACACCTGAGCTCATGTGGCTCTCCTGCCTGTGAGGCTTGGAGCTTTTTTCCTGGCTAACTCCTTTGTTTGAATGTCATCTACCAAGCCTTCCCTGAACCCCAGAGGGAATGCATACTCGTCTTCTGTAACATCCAGGGGTTTTCACTGACCACTAAATATTAAATATGTCAGTCTTATGTTTGTCTGTAGTTCCTCTCAGGTGAGAATCACGTCTTACTTACATGTGGCTGCAGGACCTGGCATAGTTCCTGAAATGGAAAGTTCTCTGTAAGTGTTGTATAAATTGATTGTGCCCATTAATGACTGAAAAGTATAGCTTGGAAGGACACTGTTTCTCTTCCTCCACCTCAAGGAACAGTGTCCAGGCTCTCTCTGCCAAGAACCAGCAATGCATACTATATACACTGGGCTTTAAAATCTCCAGGAAATTGTAGAAGGTTGGGAAAAACATACACTGACACTCCCATTGCAGTGCAGACCCTGGTGCCAGTCGCCTCTGTCAAGTCCCATGTGATTAGAAGTGCTGAGATCCACCTCATTTCTTTGCTGATTTATTGGGTGGTCTTGCAAGACATATTTCCCTAGCCAACTATTTACCAAGCCCCAAATAGTGTCCCTCCTTGGCCGAGTGTGGTGGCTCATGCCTGTAATCCCAGCACTTTGAGAGGCTGAAGCGGGTGGATCACCTGAGGTCAGGAGTTTGAGACCAGCCAGGCCAACATGGTGAGACCCTGTCACTACTAAAAATACAAAAATTAGCTGGGTGTGGTGGTGGGTGCCTGTAGTCCCAGCTACTCAGGAGGCTGAGGCAGGAGAATTGCTTGAACCCAGGAAGCAGCGGTTGCAGTGAGCTAAGATCATCCCACTGCATTCCAGCCTGGGTGACAGAATGAGACTCCATCTCAAAAAAAAAAAAAAAAAAAAAAAAAAAAAAAAAATTGTCCCTCCTCTCTTCAAATTCCCTGAAGAAGCAGACAAGATCAGCCACTTGAACTAGTGACATAGCACTGGACTAAGAGTCAAGGAGGAAGTCCCAAGCCATATTCAGCTGTTAGTCAAGTCATTTCGCCTCTCAGACTCTGGATTTCTTCATCTGAAAGATGAGGACTGTCTGATCTGTAAGGTCCCCAGCAGCCCCAAAGTCTATGATTCTCTATTTCAATAACCCCATCACAAAGGATACCTTCTCTAATCCACTCAGTCAGAATTCACACCAAATGAGTTCTTGAGAGCTGGGATGTCATTTTGCTCATCTTTGTATTCCCCTA